GGCTACTTTTTATTCTTGAGCTCACAGGTATCCAGTATTCTCTTTCTTCATTGCCTCTTCCTTGAAAAAGCAGTGACAATCAATCTGTCTTTTCAACTCTTGGTATCTCTTGAACGGATTGGATTATCAGAAGAAGTTATCTTTATGATTTCCATAGGCCCTTAAAACCTAACACTTTCAAGACCATTAACGCAACAAAGATCTTTTAGTAATAGCAAATGATCTGGCTTAGAAAGTTCAGTATTAGAGAAAAAAGCATTCTTCCTTTCTAAATAAGAACGACTCAAAGCGCCAAATAGAGATGCCTCAAACATGGTACTGGAGCTTGCCAGCAAAGGTTAAGTTTTCATAGATCAAAGAAAATAGATATTGGGAATTGTTTTTGATAAGTGTTAGTGAATTTCAGAACAGTTTTGCCAACCACAGCCCATAGACTAAATAATCCTGTCTTTGATGGTTGCATCTTGACACTTTTTTTTTTTTTGGTAGTATTGGAATTGGAGCCCAGGGGTACTCTACCACTGAGCTACACCCCCAGTCCTTTTTATTTTGAGACAGGATCTCACAGAGTTGCAGAGGCTGACTTCAAACTTGTAATCCTCCTGCCTTGGCCCCTGGGTCACTGGGATTGTGGGCATGTGCCACTGCGCCTGCCTGTCAACAGATTTTCAGAGAATTTAAATGAGTTGGCCGACAGATTTTGCATAAAGCTTTCTGCAAAGCCTAGTAGTAGCTTTCTCTTTGGTCAGGGCAAGTGCTTTTTAGTTCATCGTTCCTCACCTGACAGCTTGACTCACTGCAGTTACCTGCCTGGTCTCCATAGATGTTCAGGTTGTGACCTTTGGTCAGGAACTGTACTTGCACATGCAGATGTTGCCTGTCATCCAGGAATGGGCATCTATTTTTTTGTTTGTTTGTTTCAGAGTCACCATCTGCCCTCTTTCCAGATCACTTGGTATGGCTTGATGTACCCCCCTCTTTGTTTTTGTTATAAGGCCTTAGCTAGGTTCCTTCAGAGGAGTCATTTGCCAGAGCACATCTTTCCTAAGATCCTCCCACGTTGAGCAGGGCTTGGAAATTTAACCCGCCCCCGAGCTATGGAGCTGACTTCTGGGCACACCTCCATTCCTCCTCAGTTAGTGGCAAGAACTTGGGTGGAACAGGCCGGATTAATTGGTTGCCCTAGCACCATAGATTATGAGGCCTGAGTGTATTATTGGCCCTCATGACTAAAATAGGCTGTTTATGGCTCCTAAATTATTTTATTCCATGTCACATTTAGACTGACTCAAATTTCACCTCCACTTTCCCAAGTCACTGCTTACACCTGGTTGGCATCTGCTTTATGCTGAAACTGAAGGATATACATCGTGTGGTCTGGGACAGGGACTGGAGTAGAGCAATACTTTGGACAAATTTGCTGGATTTGCCACACTCTACTGCATGCAGTGGATGGAGTTTTGCTCTACCTGGCTCTTGAGTGTTTCTAGACTCAGTTCTAGATTAGAACTGAATTACTGAACTGTCAAAAATTCCATAGCCACTAACCATATGCTATTACATTTAAACTAATTAAATGAAAAATTTAGCACCTCGGTCCCACCAGCCACATTTCAAGTGCTTATTAGCCAGTTTTGGTTAGTGGCTACCATATCAGAACAGAACATTCTGCCACTGCATAAAGTTCTGTGTCTATGGACAGTGCTGGCTTTGGAGGGGTAGAAACACCGTACTGATAGCTGCTTACGTGGTTTTTCTCTCCACTCCGTTAAATTTAGGGAATCAACAGTTTTTATAATGAAGAACATCAGGCTCTGAGCTGTAACCTGAATTCTTGTCCACAACTCAGCATACTAGCAGCAAGCACATCAAACAGATTGCCACTTGTCCTGCCGGCAAACATCAAACAGATTGCCACTTGTCCTGCCGGCATCTTTGAGGTACTCTTGCCCATCTAGGAAAGCACAGAGCAGGTATCTGTCTTCTCCCACCTTTGTGCCAGCCGGGACTAGCTCACAGCCCACCTGTCTTACGTGGACTGCTTGGTGCTGGTCTCTCAGGGTTCCTGAGCATCCCTGAGTTTTCTTGATTGTTGGAATATGAGTCTAACCATGTGCTCTGAGTTTCTGTTCTTATAACCATGTGAACACGTACCAATCTGCATCTGATCGTGATGCAGGGCAGCCTGAGGTCTTCAGCTTTTAGGGTTTGATCATTTTTTGCAGCCTTCCCTCCTCTGGCCTGTGCAGCTGCTTCCCCTGGCATTTGTTAGACAGCGAGTTTCATGGAATTACGAGAATCAACACCATGTCCTCCTCTAGAGGGCTATGTTTTATCTGTAAACCCAGATGATAAGATCCAGGTGGTTAGTATAGGGTTTAGTGCCCACTCCAGCTCAAAGGATGGCCATGTGGGCAGGTTGGTTCACCTTCCTGGGGTGACACACCCCTTTCTATTCTGATCCTTCCCTTTTAGTGCTAAGGACTGTTGGGATTTGGGTCTTTTTTTGTTTTTATTTATTTATTTATTTTTTTAGTTGTAAATGGACAGAATGCCTTTATTTTGTTTATTTTTAGGTGGTGCTAAGGATTGAACCCAGTGCCTCGCACTCTGCCACTGAGTCCCAGCCCCTGCTTGGTTTGGTGTCCAAGGGCAAAACACCTTGCTAACCTGTGCCAGTTAATGTCTCTTGAGTGATTCCCATTCTGGCCCTCTTGTGTGGTAGAAGTTTTTCTTACTGGTCTGGATGAGATGAACAGGCACAGGATTCGCACTCGTGTCTTATAAAAAGCCAGTAACCACTCAGCAGCCTTAACAGTTGAGGTAAGGGCTGTGCAGAAGTCCTTGCCGCCATGGCAGAAATGTTCTGTATCTTTGTTGTGCATCAGGGCAGCTGTGAGCCACATGTGACTATTGAATGCTTGAAATGTGACTAGGGTGTCTGAGGGGCTGGATTTATTTCATTTTATCTAATTGTAATTAACTTCTATAGTCACAGGTGCCTCACGCTGGGTGGTGCTTTTCAAATGAGATTTGCACACCTGGCCCAAGTCCTGAGGGCATTGCAGTGCTTTGGGAGAGCCAGGGCCTTTGGCACCATTTGACACAGGAAACTGGCACAAGTTAGCAAGGTGTTTTGCTCTTGGACACTTAAGTGAGAGAGAACTTGAAGCCAGGCCCCTTGTCTTCCACACTTGATGTATTGGGTTCTTGTTCCTGAGGCAAAATTGCTACTTGATAAGCAGACTGAAGAGTAGGAGAGTGACCTCTTCTTACATTTTGTTTTCTCTGAGATGGATGGAAGTTGTCAGGTGCCCTGTGAAAGTTCCTTGGACTTCTGGAACTGTTTTGGGCATATGTGCGTGTGCCTTTCTGTCCTCAGTGATCTTTAATTGGTAACATAGGATTTTCCTGCTAGTCTTTCTGTTTTCTTTAGGGTCTGAGGAAGCAATGCTTGGTTACCGAAAAACAGGTTTCCACTCCATTAAATTTAGGGAATCAACAGTTTTAATAATGAAGAACATCAGGCTCTGAACTGTGACCTGAATTCTTGTCCACAAGAATTCAGCACGTCTTGTCACACATGGTGATTGAATGACACGTATAAAGTGAAAAGCAGGCTGATAATGGACCTAATTTAAATTTTCAGGCATCATTTATTTTAATTATATCATTGTATCATCATTTTCTCTTCCTGTCACTCATTACAAATGTCCATCTATTTTGGGGGAGGAACCTGTTACATTCAGACCTAGTGCTGGGGGCGTGTCATGGTGTAAAGTCTCAGCCTTCAAGGAACTCATGCCAGAGTCCCTTTGTTTTTCTTTTGTGATGCTGGGGGTGAAACCCAGAAGCATTCTACCACTGAGTTATACCCCCAGCCTTTTTTATTTTGAGACGGTGTCTCGGCAGGTTGTTAAAGCTGGTCTTAAACTTGCGATCCTCCAGCGTCAGCTGGGATTACAGGCCTGCATCGCTGTGCCCAGGTCTCCTTTTTTATTTTATAGGTGAGCTCACCCTTGAGCCCTACTTGGGAGAGCCTGGGCCCCCATTCCAGGAAGTGGGCTAAAGCCAGTGCTTGCACTACAGTTAGATTGAGTTCTCCTGGGTCAGCAAGACCAGGAAATGATGGAGACTTGCAGAGCAGTGGAGCCATTGCTTTTCTGGCAGGACTGCAGGAGTGTGATACCAACACGGTACCTCAATCATGTGAAGCTCCCTGCTCCTGGACACCTCTGGATTGGTGGGCTTGTTCCTTGTTGCTTCTCCATGGGCATTGAGAAGGTTCCAGAGCTGGAAGTGAGCTGCCTCCTATTATCCTGAGTAGTGGAGACTCACTGGTTGCCTTGTCTCTTCACTACAAGGAATACAGGTTTTTGAGTGAGGTTTTTTTGTTTTTGTTTTTATGAAAATGTTTATGATTATTTTCACATTATAAAAGAAGCATATTTGTTTTTTAATAAAAAACAAAGGCATGGAAAAAAATAAATCTAGAGATCAACTGTTAGGCCACCACCCAAAGAAAAATTATATATATTTATGTGTAGCAATAGACTTCCCTCATAAATTTATGTCTTGTGTTTTAAAGTATATGTGTTAACTATATCAAAAGTGTATATGCTACAACATGATGATTTTATTTTTTATTTTTTTAGTACTGGGGATTGAACGCAGGGGCTCTTCATCATTGAGCTACATCCCCAGCCCTTTTTTATTTTGAGATAGGTCTTGCTTAGTTGCTGAGGCTGGCCTCAAACTTGTGTTCCTCCTGCCTCAGCCTCCTGAGTCACTGGGATTACAGGCGTGTGTCATGGCACCTAGCTACAACGTGATGACTTAAAAACATGATGATAGGGCTGGGATTATGGCTCAGTGGTAGAACACTTACCTAGCATGCATGAGGCACTGGGTGCCTCAACACCACATAAAAATAAATAAAATAAAGGTATTGTGTCCATCTACAACTAAAAATAGTTTTTTTTAAAAGTTATGATAAATGAAAGAAGCCAGTCATAAACAACACATATGATTCTGTTTATATGGAAGGCCCAGAAGTGGCAAATCCGTAAGTCATGAAGTGGAATGTTGGTTGCCAAGGGCTTGGGGAAATGGGAAACGTCCTTAGTGGGTACAGGTACAGGTGTTTGGGTTTTGTGGTGCTGGGGATTGAACCCAAGGGGTGCTGCACAACCCTAGCTTTTTTTTTTTTAAGACAGGGTCTCACTAAGTTGCCCAAGCTGAACTTGAACTTGTTATCCTCCTGCCTTAGCTTCCCGAATTGCTGTACACCACCATACCCAGCCAGGATTTCTTTTTGAGGTGATGAAAGTGCTCCAAAATTGTGAGGTTTGATTACACAACTCTGAAAATGCTGAGCTGCTGAATTGTCTGCCTTAAGTAGGAGAATTGTATGGCTTGTGCATTCTACCTCAATAAAAATACAAATCAAGGGCTGGGAGTATAGTTCATAACATGCTTGGCAAGTGCAAGGATCTAAGTTCTATCTGTAGCATGCAAAGAAAAAAATAAGAACTACAGCGAGGGGCTGGGATTGTGGCTCAGTGGCAGAGCGCTTGCCTCACATATGAGGTACTGGGTTCGATCTTCATCAGCACCACATAAAAATAAATAAAAGATATTGTGTTCATTTATAATTAAAAATATTTTTTAAAAAAAGAACTACAGTGATTTACCATTATCACACTCATAGGATGGCTACTATTAGAAGAAAGTAGAACCTCAGTGACTTGGGAGGCTGAAGCAGGAAAATCGCCAATTCAAGGCCATCTGGAGCAATGTAGCGAGACCCTCTCTCAAAAAGGGCTGAGAGTATAGCTCAGTGGTAGAGCACCCCTGGGTTTAATCCAAAGGGAAGGAGAGGGAGGGAGAAAGGACAAGTATTGGGGAAGATGTGGAAAAATTTGTGGTAAGGTAAAATGAGGGTGGTAAGGTAAAAAGGTGAAGTCACTCTGGGAAACTACCACAGGTCCATAAAAATTGAACATAGAATTGCTGTATGATCCACAATTCCACTTCTGGGCATATAAACAGAAGAATTGAAAAACAGGGACTTGAACAGATACTTGTACACCTTTGTTCATAACAGCATTATTCATAATAGTCAAGAGGTGGAAACAACCCAAGTGTCCATTGGTAAATGAATGGATAAACACAGTGTGATGTAGCTATACAATGGAACCCTATTCAGCCTTAAAAAGGAAGGAGAGTCTGGAACATGGTTCGATGTGGCTGAACCTTGAGGGCATTATGCTAAGTGAAATAGCCAGTCACAGAAGGACAAGTACTGTGTGATTCCACTCCCAGGAGTTCTGTAGGACAGTCAGATTCATAGAGACAGACAGTAGGATAACTGCCAGGGGATGAGAAGATATTAAATAACAGAGTTTTGCTTTTGCAAGAGGAAAAAGTTCTAGAAATCAGCTGTACAATAGTGTGGACATACTTAACACTACTGAACTGTACATTTCAAAAGACCAAAGTGTTAAAATTGTATTTGCCACATTTAGGAAGTAACAATAACCTGTGCTCACCACAAGTAGAGCTTAGCAAGTAGAAGGCTAGCCTTGCCTTGGCCCACACCAGCCTCCCCAGCACAGGCCACCTGGCTTGTGAACCCCCTCCTTGTGCTTCCTCATAGTCTGCTACACCTTTAACTTTGCACTGGAGTCATGCACAAGAGGAATCTGCATGTGCCCCCCACAGACAAGGTGGCACCCGTTCACCCTCATTCTGGTGGCGTTAGTTTAGTTCATTAGTCACTTGCACTCACCAAACAGTGCTGCTTGCACAAACTTGTATAGCTCTTGACTTTTTGGGGGGTGTCACCAGCCTGTGGGGGTCCCCGCATTTGAGATTCAAGTCTGGCCTCACGGTATAGGCTGGACAGAGGGCTGGTCTCTGAGTAGGCTGCTTGGCATACTCTTAGGGTGCCCAGGTCCCAGAGGGGATATATTGTGTCCTGTTGGGTTTTCACTGTGGTGCACTTTGACTGTAACGCAGCATTCCCCAGGGGTTTCTTCGCCAGCTGATTCCCCTTGGTGGCAAACTGAGGGCCCAAAGGCCAAATGGGGTTGCAGACGGAAGGAGGGAGTCAGGCCCCTAATGCCTGCTCACAAGAGCCATGAACTGAGGCTCCACAGTGTCTGTGGCAGCCCTTGGAGTTGCTTGAACTGTTGCCTGCCCCCAGCTGCATTTAGTGATTTTTTTAAAAATATTTTTTTAGTTGTAGTTGGACACAATTATTTATTTTTATGTGATGCTGAGGATCGAACCCAGTGCCTCACACATGTGAGGCAGGCGCTCTACCACTGAGCACAGCCCCGGCCCCAGCCTTACATTTAGTGATTTTTAAAGTGCCAGATATTATGCCAAGTTTAAAAGAGTCAAAGGTCATTTAGTAAAAAAGAGACCCCCTTCTTTTTCTGAGCTACTCAGTTCCCTCCTTAGTGACAGATTCTCAGGTCTTTTTGTCTCCTTCCAGAAATGTTCTGTGCATATAAAAGCAAATAGATACTTAAAAAAATTATACTACAGATGGCATATTATAAACACTGTTCTGTACCATCACTGCTGCTGCTTTTTGTTTGCTTTTTAATGTAGACTGTCAGCGGTCATTTCATACATGCAGAGAAAAGTAAAAATATGGCCTCTTAGGAAGCCTGGAGTTCAAAAGATCCCAACTAGCTACAGGTTGAGCATACCAAAATACTCCAAAATCTGATACATTTTCAGTGCCCATATTATGCCACAAGTGGATTATTCCACACAAAACCTCGTGTGATAGGTAATTGTCAAAATGCAGGTGCGCTAAAAATATTGTGTAAATTTACCTTCAGGCTACAAGGTGTAGGTGAAACAAAAAAGGATTTTATGTTTAGACTTGGTCCCACCCCCAAGACATCTCATTAATCCCCAAATGCTGAACACTTTTATTCTTAAGCATTTGGAGAGGGATATTCATATTGGTAAGGGATACTTATAAGAGAGACTGTATTGCTTAAAAGTCTGCTTCCACATACCAGGGGTCAGGCCACTCAGGTTCGAAGGCCCATGGCCTTGTAAGCTGGAGAGATCAGTTGATAATGTTCTGAATGGTTCAAGGCAGCCTTCCAACTGGGTTCTTAGCTAGGTTACATTTGACCCAGAAGCAAAATTAAGCTTTTGGGGTGAGTGCTGGCATGGTTGAGCAGTGACTGGACTTGGCTCTTAGAGAACTTAGCAACCGGTTTCTGAAGTAGAACAGTCCAGAGTCCATATCACCAGTGCAGACCTGAGCCCTTTAAAATGTACTTGTACAGTGGCAGACAGCACCCTGCCTCCACCAGCACCTGGGAAATGGGGTACTTGGCCTGGCCTGGCCTGGCCTGGCGGACTCTGACAGAGCTGCTCCTGCTTCCTGTGTGTCTGGATTGGTTGTGGTCTGAATCTTGCCATCTCCTTCCTTGTAAATCATATGGTATCCTGGAAATTTACTTCTCTAAACTTCAGATTTTATCCCACCTGACAGAAAATGAGAATCCCTTTCCTTAACTGACTTTTACAGCAGAATTAGTGGTTGGTTTTGGGGGCAGTAAAACAGGACACTGCCTGGGCTTTCTTTAGAGCCTGCTCTTGTTTGAAGCACCTGGCGCCTTCAGCTGGCTGTGTACTTATTTTCATACTATGTATAAAGTCTTGCCCGTGGGATAGGAGCAGACTGAGCTGCTCAAAGTAAGACACGGGGCTCCAGGAAGCCAAAATGATCTTGGCAGGCAGTGGATCAAGCCATCTATCAAACCAGCTCTCAGAAGTGAGTATCAGGTGGACGCACCATGTCTACACTGGCCCGCTACAGGCTGTGGCATTCATGAGGCCACCTACAGTGAGGGCAGCAGATGCCTAGACCCAGTCAGAACAGAAGGCCACTGCCTTGGGAGCACTTTACTGACCCAGTGTCTGCTTGCTGCTGTTCCCATGCTGTGGGGCTGGGATGCAGGACAACAGCAGCAAGGCAGGAGTTTAGGTCTTTGGAATCACTCCTAGACATGTTGGGACTCATACGCCCACTAATCTGTCTTGACAAGTGGTGGGAGGTGTCTACTATGCCTGCCCAAAAAACCTGAGGGATCCTGCCATGCAGAGGGTTGGGGCAGGGTGGGCCTGGGTGCATATGGGTGCCGTCTGGGCTTGGAGACAAGCTGGGGAGATGACATCTGCCCACTGATGTGTTTGTAAGATGGAGCACTGCAGGTGCTGGTTTGACTGGCTACTCCTCGCTTAGAAAAACCACCGTGTGAAAAATACATTCAGGGTGGATGCAGGCCTGCCAGCAGACAAGGGCAGGACGGCACGGTGGAGCAGGGTCTGGGTGGGAAGACTCTAATAGCAGCTTGATGCCAACTTTGTTCCATGGGGATGAGCGCTCACCTCTGACACCCCATGGTGAAGTGTCTTGTCCCCTCACTTTCAGAGTCTGCAGGACACAAATTAGCTTGAGGGTTGGGGATGTGGCTCAAGCGGTAGCGCGCTTGCCTGGCATGCGTGCGGCCCGGGTTCGATCCTCAGCACCACATACCAACAAAGATGTTGTGTCCGCCGAGAACTAAAAAATAAATATTAAAAATTCTCTAAAAAACAAATTAGCTTGAAAGCAACTCCTTTTTGGTTTCGCAGATGGATGCATGGTTTAATCCCTTAGGCCTCTTGTTCTCGGGGCCCTCGGCCTCTCTTGGCTAATATACATGACCCTAAAGGAAATCTCTTAACCAGAAATGTTCCTACCTGGGAGTAGAGACCCTGTCACTCCCACACACCAGGGAGCACAGTCACCCCTTAGCACTGACTTTGATTTCTGTGTGACCATCAGAGACTACACAGCCCCTCTTCTCGCCCAGCCAGAGTGAAACCCTGATTCGGGCCGCCTTATTTGTCTGCTTAAGGTGGCTTTTAAGATGCTGAATTCTGCTTGAGAGAAACAGCTGCTGTCACCTGAATTTTCTCCAGAAGGAGAAACTTTACAAAGAAACTTAAAGGGAAACCCTGCTTTCCCATTTCATTGGCTTCCTATGCGTCTTTGGCAGCCCAGTGCCTGGCATACCGTGTCACAGGCTGCTTTGGCCACATCCCATGTTGAGGTTTCGTGTCTGACCCCAGGGAGTCATTTCTCTCCAGTGCACAGTTTAATCAGGGCCTGAGATTTAATTAGCAGGCGTTGCCTTAGCTCAGTTTAATTACAGATACCTTTCCAGGATAAAGAGTTCTTTTTTCTGGGTCCAAGCCAGAGCCTTCTGTTAAAGGGGCTCCCATCTTGAGTGGGATCCCCTCCCTTGGCATATGGGTGCACAGTCAGCCCTTTACCTATGATCTTTTTTTTTTGGTGCTGGGGATTGAACTCAGGGGCACTTGACCACTGAGCCACATCCCCATCCCTTTCTTTCTTTTTTTTAATATACTTTTTTCTTTAGTTGTAGATGGACACAATGCTGAGGATCGGGCCCAGTGCTTCACACTTGCTAGGCGAGCACTCCACTACTGAACCACTACCCCAGCCCCGCCAGCCCCATTTTGTATTTTATTTAGAGACAGGTCTCCCTGAGTTGCCAAGAACCTTGCCATTGCTGAGGCTGGCTTTGAACTCTCGATTCTCCTGACTCAGCCTCCCTAGCCACTGGGATTACAGATGTGCACCACTGTGCCCAGCTGACTTTCATTGTTTATGTGACCACATAAGAACATTCATCAGTTGTTATCCAGAGTGAAACCCTGCCTCTGAGGTTTCCTTGTCTGTTTACTAAAAGTGAATTTTTAAAAAATATTTATTTTTTAGTTGTAGTTGGACACAATACCTTTATTTATTTATTTTTATGTGGTACTGAGGATTGAACCCAGATTGAGGATTGAAAGCTCGCTTGCTAAGGGAGTGCTCTACCACTGAGCCACAACCCCAGCCCTAAAAGTGAATTTTTGAAGTGCTGAATCTTGGCTGGAGCTTAGCATGTGTGTTGCCCTATCCCCCCAGATAAAATGAAGAAAAGTGCCAGATCCTGTCCAAGAATGACAACTGGAAGGAGTCTAGTCTGTCAGGCTCTCTGGTCACCTGCCTCTTGGTGTTTGCCCCCAGCAGGCCAGTTTACACTGTGCCCTGGCATGCTGTTTCTGTGAGGGAGGGTTGGGATCCTCCTGTGGTGGGCTGAGAGGGTTCTTCTCTGGTCTCCACAGTGTCTGTGGCCGCCCTGGGGTACTCAGCTCAGCCACCACTGTGTATGCTGGTGTGGCTGCTGGGACCAGCTGCATAGGCTAGACATCAGCCACCGCTGTGTGGGCAGTGTGGCTGCAGAGACCAGCCTTGTAGGCTGGGCCTTCTGTGAAGGCTTTACGCTGTGCTTCTTGTTGGCCACTGAAGGAGCCCAGTTCCTGGCTAGAGACCCTGGTTGGAGGGGCATAGGTTTGGGTGGGGAAGCGGTGACGACCAGGTTTAGGGACTAGGGGCTCTTTTCATTGAGGCATATGTGACACAGAGCTGTTTGAATGTCTCTGCGAGGCTTGGATGAAGACTTCTTTTTTGTACTGGAGATCGAACCCAGGGGTGCTTTACTACTGAGCTACATTCCAGCCCCTTTCCTTTTTCTTTTGAGAGAGGGTCTCACTGAGTTGTTTACTGGCCACAATCTTCCTGCTTCAGCGTCGCTGGGATTACAGGTGTGTGCACCACATCCAGCTGAAGAAGGCATCTTGTGAAGCGAGCAGAGGGCGTAGAGCTAGGAGAAGCAGTCCATGCTGGACAGCACCGTGTAGGCTTAGATGTGGACAGGTTGAATAAGCCCCAGGAGACGTGGAAAGGGCTGTGCAGCCCTGTACTTAGGTTTGCCTGTCCTGGGTGTGAGAAGATCCTGCTTTGGATAGGAAATGTGCATCAAAGACTTCATATTGCCTAACAAGCCACTTCAGTCCATGCTTGCTGCTGGGACTGAGGCCCAGCTGCCATGTGGCTTTGACACAGAGCTGAGCCCTTCCTTACAGGTCTAGATTCCTCTTTACCTGGTCAGGGTCATGTCATCCCTCCGCAGTGCCAGGGGGAAGCAAAGGTTTGAGGCAGATCCCTGTGAACAATGTCTTTTGGGGCATGAGAGCAGCCCTCAGTGGTGAGTCCCAGGCCTGCAGGGTCCAGATTGGGCCATCATCTAGGCTGCCTGATTGAGAAACCCCATAGATGCTTCTGCCTATGAGTTGCTACTCTTTTCTCAGCTCAGAGAGGGCTGCATTTCCCCGGAGTAGCTGCTATCCCTGGGCCTGCTGTGCCTGTCCTCCCAGGGGGCCCCTGAGGTGAAGCTGTCCCTTTTTGTTTTCAGTTGTGCAAACGAAGGATGGCCACTTTTGAACTGAGCAAAGGGCAGGGTTGTTCAGTATCATGTCCTGGGGGGTATGTTGGTTTCCATAGAAAAACCCTCCTGCAGTTGTCTGACAATCCAAGAGCAGCTTCCGAGCTGTTGACCTTGTGCATCTGCTGTGTTTGGGTCTGTGGCATTCTGTGCTGTAATCACTTTTTTCCCTTTGGGCTGTGTGCCAACTTGGCAGTCTGCTAGGGTGCCACACTACGCTCCCCAGCAAGCTGGCATACAGTGTGGTGCCTTGTCAGATGCACCTGTTACTCCTTTTTCTGCATCTTTCATTTTGTCCTTTCATTCTCTCAGAAAGAAAAATGTTTACTGATTATCTTGTCTGTTGGGTTCTAGAGCAGATAAACACATAAGTGATGCTTCCAGCACCTTAGTGAAACCCAGTCCAGTGCTTCAGCCTAACCGCCTTGTCTTTCTCCCCCATCAAAGGGTGAGCTTGTCGGCCACGGACTGCTACATTGTGCACGAGATCTACAATGGGGAGAACGCCCAAGACCAGTTTGAATATGAGCTGGAGCAGGCCCTGGAAGCCCAGTACAAGTACATTGTGATCGAGCCCACCCGCATCGGCGATGAGACTGCGCGCTGGATCACCGTGGGCAATTGCCTGCACAAGACGACCGTGCTGGCGGGTACTGCCTGCCTCTTCACCCCATTGGCACTGCCCTTAGATTATTCCCACTACATCTCCCTGCCTGCTGGTGCGCTGAGCCTGGCCTGCTGCACCCTCTACGGGATCTCCTGGCAGTTTGACCCTTGCTGCAAGTACCAAGTGGAGTACGATGCCTATAAACTGTCCCGCCTGCCTCTGCACACACTCACCTCCTCCACCCCGGTGGTGCTGGTCCGAAAGGACGACCTGCACAGAAAGAGACTGCACAACACGATAGCACTGGCCGCCCTGGTGTACTGTGTAAAGAAGATTTACGAACTCTACGCTGTATGACTTCAGTAGAGCAGGGAGAGGAGCAGAGCCACAAAGCCCGCAAGAGGAGAGGATTCAGATTGCCACAGTAACACTTCTTGCTCTGCAAGGCAGCCTGGGAAGGTGTTTGGTTTAATACTTGTTATTTTTAAAAAAGAACACAGATCATGGGTATACCAAGGGGTTTTTCAGCTCATTACACTAAGATGTGGATTTCCATAACCCAGGAGGGGTTCTGAGGCTGTGGAAGTCTGATTGGGCAGTGGAATGTGGATGGAAGCCAACGCTACTGAGGGGGTGTGAACGCGCTTTGGGGGGGTCTTGAAGTATATTGTTTAACTGTACCATTCAGAGCCAACCAGAAGCTATTGACCATTATTAAAATTATGAGAATTTCAACTTCTGCTGTTCTCTCTGTCCATAATGGTGCTTGCAGCTCCCACTGCACCTGAGTTATGCAGGCACTACGGACACCTTCTGCTCCTCATTGCAGCCTAGTGTCACCACTTAGCAAGAACAGGTCTGGATCTGAGGTCCTGGGGCCAGCAGCCCCTGCCCAGATAGCCTGGCTCACCTTGGCCTTGCTGTGGTTGGGGTCAGCACTGCTGACATGCTGGTGTTCAGGGACATGGTAAAGTGATGGTGCCTAGAGATACGGGGAGTCTCTCTTTGGGTTCCCTTTTGGGAAATTCTGGGGCCCAGGAGCCTCTGTCCAGAAATTCTGATTTAGGAGGACACAGGTGCTAACATCTTTGGTTTTTTAAAGCACCCACAGCTGTTCCTGATGTGGACCGAATGCAACCCATATCCTAGGCCAAGGGAAGAGCCCTGGAAACCATCAGGAGAGCACCCTGGATAGCCTTGGGGGCTAATCCACAGCAGCCCAGCCCCTTGCTGGGCTCCTTCCTCAGCCAAAAGTCATCTTATGCACTGTCTGCCACACTCCTGCTGAGGTTTTGGATAAATGGACAATAGACCCCTTTACAAAGGCCGAGGCCTCAGTGGCCCAGTTCTCCCCTCACAGCCACACAGCACTTAAGAACAGTCTTCAGAGACAGACAGGCTGACCTTTCACCCAGCTGTGCCACAGAGCCATGAGGGCGCTTCACCCACGGTACACAGCAAGGCTCTGGGGCGGTTACGCCGTTTTGGTAGGGGAGATCCAAATCTAAGAGTACCATGGCCCACAAAACATTTTAAACTCTGACAGTGTCCTTGAATTGTTGAGTGATAAAATGTCAGGTGTACAGTATTGTTTACATGCTGGCCTTTGGCCAGTGGGAACAATAAAGTGGTAACTACATAGACTACAAGAGATCCTGGACAAACAGGCCTCATCCCAATTGTGCAGGACAAGCTGAAATGCACTGCCCACAACTCAGGCTCTGAGCACTGGCTTCCAAGCCTGCTGGGCAGGACAGCATGGTCTGTGTTTTTGTGACAGACAGGTTCAGAGTTGGAAAGGGAGCCCCATGACTGGCCTAGCTGTGCTCTTTCTGCACATCAGATTTCATGGGGGAGGTGGCTAGAACTGGACAGGCTGTGGGACCTCAGGTCAGCCAAGGAGATGCCCTCAACCAAAATAGAAACCAGGTACAAACGGACGCTCCTTTGCCACTTCCCAGGCCACACTTAACAACAAAGTGTCTCTTGTTGGGTGTACCAACCCAGGTTGTGAAATGCCATCGTAGTTATGTGGTCCCTGGTCATACAAGTGAAGCTGCAGTACCTCTGCAGACAGCAGGCAGGGATTGGTGTGACCCAGGCAAGGCCTTGGGAGCAGCCAACATATACCTCCCTCCTGCCCAGAGAGGCTGTCACACACAGCAGGGTCCTCGACAAGTGGCTCATGCTCACCTGTGTCACACAGCTTTCAGTAACTGAGAATTGAGAGGAAGCAAAGGCCACATGACCCAGAGGTCCTGCTGTGGAAAATCTGCCCAAGTCCCACATGGGTCATTTAAGGGAATGGGTCGTGTAACTAATCTAGCAAACCACTTTAATCTTAACTACCCACCCCATCCAGTTTCAGAGAAGCAGAGACAACTAACCAGGCAATGTGAAGGGCAGACCCTGGCTGGCTCTTTCCACCTGTGTATCCTCCACAGCCTCTCGGCTCCTCCAAGTTTCACATCTGGTCTAGCACTGGGACGCCCACCTGTCCCAGGAGGCTGGGAGACTTGCTGTGAGCCAGGCTGTATGCCCAAGGGGCCATGTCCTCACCATTTCCCCCTCTACACTGTGTAGAGCTGTGCTGGCTGGGAAGGAAAAGCTAGTTTTAGTTTGCAGTCTCGGTTTTGGGCAGGAAGCACAAGATGGCCTGCTCTTGCCCAAGCACCAGTGGAACACCAAAAGGTTTGGAAAGGAAAGTGGAAAGTGTCTTTGAACTTTATCAGATATCTAAAGGCAGAACCAATTAAATGTCGTGGTTTTCAGACCTCCCTACAGAATTCAAGATTGAAAGTGAGCCAAAATCAAAACAAAACAACAACAAAAAACCAGAAAAACCCCCAATGACAGAAAAGCTAAACTGGAACTGCAGCAACACTGCTACCCCTGGTGGCAAGTGCTTACATTCAAACACTGGTTTGAAAAATCCAAGATTAAAGTGAAGGTTATTCAGAGTCCACAAGCCAAAGTCAGGCTGTGGTGAGCTGCCCTCTTGGAATAAGTTCGCCAGGCAGGCTGGGCAGGTGGAGGCTTGGCCCCAGGAGGATGTACCAGCTGCCCTCCACATGAGGACAGGCGGCCTTGGGAGGTCTCCCATTTGTCCAAACCAGCACTCTATCCAGAAAGGCTTGCTTAGCTCCAGAGGTACCTGAAATAACACTGTAGGAGCAACAGGGAACTTGAAGCACACTGATGACCGGCCCTTTGGGCTGTGGTCTCTGAGGCCAAGAGCATCCCTCTAACATTAAAGCTTCCCTGGAATTTGCCAACCTCAAGAGCAGGGTGTCCCATGTTTGGCCTCTGGCAAGTAGCTGTATCTATGCTAGCTCTGGCCAGGATTAGGAATTCTTAGATTTTCTCTTCTTTCTGGCCCTGGAGGCCATGATGCTGAAGAAGAGCCCAGTTAATAATTATATTTTACATTATACTTTATATGTCAAAATATGTAGAGCGTTTCTAAAGTAAATCTTAGAAAGTGAGTTTTAAATAATGTTAGGCAAAGAAACCACCACATGTCCACCAGAAGTGAACTTGAGGTGCTCCAAGCTCCCTGCACTACAGCTGCAAGCTGATAAGGCTTGGTGGCTCATAACTACCTACCACGGTGGTTCCCAGAGCAACACCCTCACCAATGGCTTTGCAGTTCCCTATCTTCTAAAGATGGAGGACACCACTGCTGAACTCTCATTTTGAGGGCAGTATATCCAATGCTGATGGTTTTATTTAATAGACAAGAAAGGAACAGCACCTGGACATCAGCCATTCTAGAAGTGCCAGTCAATAAATGTCTAAGAAGAAGTGTTCTCTTGCTCCATTTAGAGAGGGAGCCCCTATCCCCGAACCTGCTACATGCTTGGCAGTTTCACTTCACTTAAGACTGGGCTAGTTCTGGAACAGTTGCTGCTGTCTCAGCCCCAGCATCCCCAGACACTAAGAAACCCTCTCTCTGATGTCAGGAATGGGGTGGTGATTCCCGTGCAAGATAAGAACCACCCATCTTGTGCATATTCACATTCTACCCAAGGCTCTGGAATGTCCAGGATGTGCTGTGAGCCAGGGCCCCAGCTAATCATCCACTTGTTCATCTACTCCAGAGCCCTAACCCCAGGCTCCTGTCAGAGGCAGCTGTTTACAACAAAAGGTGAACAGAGCCAGAGTTAGGTCAGTGCAGACATCAACATCATATGCTAGGAGATTTTTATCCCAATTTGGGGAAGTCTACAGTGGACCTACTATTTCAACTTCATTCTCATTAATAGGAAAACTTCTCCCTAAATGAAGTGACTCACTCAAGAACTTCAACTATGTACTTTTAATAAATCAAAGGTGGACCCAGGCCTTCTCTCTGACTATAATCAGCAAATGAACTCCTTCCACCTGGAAACTAGCTGCTGCTTCAGCTCTGCTCACCAGGCCAGTCTCCAAAGGTTTCTTTTCCTAGAGGATGTCTACGGCCATGTAGAGGTCTCCCTTCTGGTTGCTGCCTCTTTAGGAAATTCATCTGCTTGAATGATGCCTGGCATACTCTAAGGCTGTGGTTAGAGTGAGAAGGAACATAGGGAATTCCTTTTGGTGCTAAAGCCACTTGGGATGTGCCATAGAACCCATCACACAGTAGCCCACCATTTTCTATATCAAATGGGCTATCACAGGATCCTGGAAAGGGATATGAATAATGATTTCCTAAAAATACAACCTTCTCTCCCAAGTGCTGATAGTTGTCCCCTCCAAAGCAAATGGGTCAAGTGGTCTTGGATATGTCAAACTCGAACAACTGGGTCAGGTGATGTTATAACATCTGACTCCAAGACAGTTTTCTAGGAGTCATCAAGGCTGGAATTCAAAGGACAGGCTTCAGTTCTTCTAGTCACTGAGGTTCATGACTCTTACTATCCCTATCATTTATTTCATGTTTTTAGAGTGGAAACCCATCTCCATATTTATTCCTTAAGTGCTTATCCCTCACCTCTAGGAAGAAGCTCATGGCCTGGGGCTGCATCATGGACCTGCAGAAGAAAAGTTTCTTCAGTCTTTTCCACCTGGAGGGCAAATTGCCATTAAAGTCTCAAGCACAGCTGTCCCTTGAAGAGCAGGCAAGCCTAGGGAAGTGTGGCTTCTCATCCTAGCTCAAACTGGTTGGAGCTGCTAGCTCTGGACAGGATTAGGAATTCTTAGATTTTCTTTCATTTCTGGCCCTGAAGGCCATGATGCTGAAGAAGAGCCCAGGAGCCAGAGTTCGAAGATAAATGGCCAAGGAAGGCAGCCAGTCAGCCACGATCACATCTTTCTTCCTCTTCCCCACAGCAGCAAGAACATCTTGGGCCACCTCTGCAGGGCTTCGGCCCTGGGCTGTGTTCTTGTCAAGAGCTAAAAGAAGAAAAGCAACACATGAACTAGAAAGCAGAGGACCTTCTCTTGAGGACTGGAGCTGACGGGAGCCATTAGGTCAGCTTGTTGCACTCCCCACTGTGAAGCTGTTCCCAGGATCTGTCAGGAAGCAGGTGGCATGCCCCTGTCCCTGAAGGTGTTCTATCCAGAGGAAACAGGAACCATTCTGTGTGTCTAAGTAAGTAAGTGAGGGTAAGGGAGATATGGGTGGAATATGGGGACAAGACAGACTGGGGACCTCAGCCAGTGATTGGAACCAATGTGAGTCCATCTGCCTGGTGGTCTGATGACAAAAGCAGAAGGCCGGCCAAGGTGGGGTCTCATAGAGCAAGCCCCTCACACCTGAGCAGCAGCTTCCTGATCTTGGACATTTTGCCCTTGGAACAACAAATGAGCCGAGACTGTGGTGCCATCTCTTGAAGGGGGAGGCCTTCTGACCCATACATGTGCCACCAGCTGAGTAGAGAGTAGAACAGGTGTCCCAACTCCCCATTTCGTGTTAGCTGGATGAGGGACAGGAAGAAACCTGTCATTCACTTTAAGCTGTTGGAGAAGACAGCTGTGGGTAGTTTGGGAGGTGTAAAGGTTACTAACCCTTCTTTACTAGTGATCTGACATTTTGCCAGCAGAGCCGGCTCAGTCAGCAGGCACAGGCCACTAGCACACCCAGTTTGATACCTTCCCGAAGCTCTCCAGTTTGCCCAAGCTTCCTCACCAGTATCTGTTCTCACTGTGGTTAATGAAAGAATGGGAAGTTTTTAATTACTGCTTAATTGTAAAGTGCCACAGAGAGATTTGCTTTAGGAAGAGAGCAGCTGCCACCCAGGACAGGGTAGTCTCGGTTCAAACTTGGCTGGGGTGGGTGCAAGCCCAGCATGTCCTTGGCAGATGCTGCAGCACAGACCTGCAAGAGACCACAGCCAGGGAGGCAGGACCCAGTGGAACATACTGTAGAGATGGGCAGTTCTGTTCTGAGTTCAGGCAGGCAGGCAGGCAGGCAGGCTTCAGCAGCTCTAGAACTCATGGGCTGCCTAACTTGAGAAGCAGTAGCTGACTGTTGTCTGCCTGGCTTGCGTGCTGGTGGAGGGCTGCCCAGCCCACAAATGGTGACTGCAGGTCAGCCTCGGTGCTGCCTCTGACTGAAGCAAGATGGAGATTACTGCACCGTACCCAGCCTAACCCTGAAGACTGCTCCTGAAGCCAGTCATTTCTCCAATATACTGAGGAGGGACCATTCAGGTCAAGCCGCCCACACTTGCCCCAAAGTTAATTCCCTTAGTCTTGATAGTGAAAATACTTCTTGGGCCTGGTGCAGTGGTACTCGCCTGTAATCCCAGCAGCTCAGTTCGGGAGGCTGAGGCAGGAGGATTGCGAGTTCAAAGCCAGCCTCAGCAACATCAAGGAGCTAAGCAACTAAGACCCTGTCGCTAAATAAAATACCAAATAGGGCTAGGAATGTGGCTCAGTGGTCGAGCGCCCTGGGTTCAATCCTGGGTACCCATCCCTGCACTAAAAAAAAAGAAAATACTATTTGGGCCTTGGGATCTAGAAATACGTTAGCTGGCTGTTTAGGGGCAATTCAGGTTAGGGACTTCCTTTCTATTCCACCAAGTCCTCTATCTCTAGGCCTCCTGTTCTGAAAGCTCTAGTGGTGATGCTCAGGCTAAGGTCAGTTCTTGGTGGTAAGTGAAGATTAAATAACAATCAGTACCTACAGCCAACACCATGCCAAGTTTTTCAGCTTTAAAAATCATATTCTAAATGAAAAATGACAACAATCACTGGGGTAGGTAAGAGCTACACATTTCACTAGGGCTGATCGATAGCTTTTCATACAAGAGCAACCAGGCCTTACCTCCATATCTGGACCCATCCGCGGTAATGGCATTTACAGAGAGGTTGGTATAGATGTAGCCGGGACTGATGACAGTCACCTGGATCCCATCCTGTTCCATCTCAGCACGCAGACAATCAAAGAAGGCCTGGGTTGCGTGCTTGGAGGCTGCATCTGCAAACATGGGCAGAGAGGCAGTGAGTGTGCCAAGGTGGGTAGGGCCCAAGGCCCACCTACTCACTCCCATTTACTCTCTGTTTAAAAAATGGTTTTATAATGTAAGATTTAAGCCTTATAGCAATATTCATTTCCTGATTTGAGAAGTGCTCTATGTCCTTGTTGTTAGGAAATCTTAAGTGTTAGGTATAAAGGGGAATCTGTCACCCGATTCTCACGTGGCTGAGAAAAAATAATTGTAAATTCACTTATAAGAGAATAAGGGAAAATATTAACTGGGGAATCTTGGTGAAGGGTACATGTTTCTGCTGTTCTTACAATTCTTCTTTAAGTCTGAAATTTTTCCAAGTTAAACAAAAGCTTAATGCTCATAAAGTAAAAAAGCAAAAGTCCTGCTTTCTAATTTGTTCCCAGAGGTGACCAATGCCGTTTCTTAGGACTTATTTTTGGATCTGTTATGTACAGGTACAGATATAAGATAGGATCTTACATTTCTTTTACAGAAATGAGCTCATACTCTTCCTTTTATTCCTGCAAGTAACTTTCTGTGATGGCCCTGCAGACCCACCCATCACATGGCTCTGACTGCCTGATCCTCCCCAAGGGATCACCAGGTGACAGATCTGGCCCCATCAGTGGGCCTTTATGGGTCTCTTCCAGTTTTTATCACTGCTAAGCACGCTACCCCGAGCATCCCTGCCTGCACACACATGTATGATGTCCAAGCTTGCTTCTGATGTACTTCCCTTTGCAAACTAGGCAGGAACTTTCAGCTGGAAGCTAGAAAGTGCACCATCTGCAAGAGACAGAGCCACCTGTGCTCCCCAGCAGCAGCTCCCCAATCTAATGGAAGGTGCTCTGAGGGGGTAACCCTACAGTGATATTCTTGGGAAACACAGAAAATCAATTTCCTGTAGTTGGGTCCTAAACATTTTTAGTCTTAATAAAAAAAGGGCTTCTCTCAGCCAAGTAAACAGGAAGGAGAAAAGCAAGGAAGTGTCACAGGACTCAGCTAGACTATATTTGGGCAGTGATTCCAGAGCTAGATGAGTAGATATTAGGGGAGTGAATAATTCCAGGGGGCAGCCAAGTCCCAAGGGCAGGAAGAGTGGGTCATCCTTGGGGTCTCCACGACAGAAGCCACACCAGTGACTGGGTCTCAAGCTCATAGGCTATGGGTTCTCAGCCTGTTGTGCAGCCCATTCCTGTCACACTGTCACCATCACTTCGTCCCTCCTCTGCACTGCAGTGTTACAGTTCATGGCTTCTCCTGATGTGGTTCTCCTGGTAGCAGCAGAAGGGAGAGGAGGCTGAGCTGACACACTTGCCCAGGAGGCACGGCCAGATTCAGTCTGGTCACCGTACTGCATCCAAACCCTTCTTGCACACCTATTATAGTCAGCAAGCCAATTAGAGAATAGAAATCAGTGGGGTGTAATCAAAGTAAAATGTGGAAATAATTTAGTACAAAGAACTCTGTAAATCTTTTACCCTGATTTATCTATTGACATTCTATCTTACTTGCATGATTATCTGTGATTATACATGGTGGTTTGGGGGTGGGGGATCATTTTGGCAGCCTTAAGTGACTGCCTGTGTATGCTCTAAGGGTTGACATGGAATATTAGCAAAAAGAGAAATAACAACTATAGAAACAAATATTGTTCCAGTTTACATAGGACATCTCTAGTTGCCTCATTTCATCTTGGTACCAGCTCTGGGAAATGTATGATGACTATAAGTCACACTGATAGGTAAGAAACTGAGGGTCAGAAAAGTTAAGTGACTGATCCAAGCACATACAACTAAAACCAAAAGATGTAGCTGGAATTAAGACCTCGGGGGGAAGAACACGATTCTGTTCCATCTTTAGTGCAAATGGTTGCTCCATCTTATCATCAAGCAGAGTATTACTGTGTTTTCAAATTGCCGACACAGCCCAGGCCTCCTTCACTGGCCTCCCTGTGCTGGGCCCTGGCTGGCTTTGGGAAGTGACTAAGAACGGGTGAGGCTGTCCCAAGTCATATATTTTTCTTTCAGAAGATGAAGCAAAGAAAGGAGCTACTGAGACAGTTTGTGAAGTGGCCTTTAAAGTCTTTTAAAAACCCCAAACACCAACAACTACATTCTATGTGTTTGCTGGAACAATGTGAGGGCAGAGCGACAGAAGAAATGACACCTTAGACTGTGGTATAGACCCTCTCCTACGTGGAGGGAAACCTGTGAACTGGAAGTCACTTGGCAGTTTTAATTATTTGGTCCTATCTAATATTTATGCTTCTTGGAATTCACTGTATCGAAACCCTCCTCTAAGGGCCCAGAGATATGAACATTCAAGGATGTTCTCTGTGGCAAATCACTCAAAGGACTGAAAAGGGGAAAAGCTCCTCAAACATCCACTCAACATATTACTATAAACCCACTTAAAAGGATAAGGTAAATCCACATGTGCTGGTATGGAAAGTCAGACAGCCAGGTGGGACAAGCATGCTCCAAAAGAGCATGCATGATGGGGTCCCCTCCCCCCTTTTTTTGTCCTGGGGATTGAACCCCAGGGGTGCTCTACCACTGAGCTACATCCCCAGCCCTTTTCATTTTAAGCCCAGGATGGCCTTGAACTTGCAATCCTCCTGCCTCAGCCTCCAGAGTTGCTGGATTACAGGCATGTGCCACTGCAACTGGCATGATCCCAATTTTGTTTGATTACATGTAGAAAAAAATTAGAGGCTAATGCTCCAAAGTGATAAAATAACATTATCAGTGGGCTGACGCTAGTAAACAATACAGTAAGAGAGGCAGTGTGTGCAGCGCCCAGGGCAGAGCTCTCCAGACACTGTACTCACAGTAGCTCCTTTAGACTGGGGCTGGGACTTGTACCTATGTGCAAATACAGATGAATCCAGAGAGGTGGGGACACCTGCCCAGGGTTACACAGCGGGTAAGAAGCAGTGCTGGGATTTGACCCCAGGTATGTGGCTTCAGAGAACACATTCTGATGAACTTCCTTCACGTTCCATGTAGGGTACTTCTTCAATGTCTGATTTCAGGACGGTAAACGTGTTATTTTTATAAGAAGAAAACAAGAATGGTTTTTTGGGGGGGGTACTCACATGCTGATCGAAAAGGAATACTGATTTTGCCCTGGATGCTGCTGATGGTGACGATGTGGCCTTGCCTCCTCTTGATCATGGAGGGCAGGAGTGCTGAGGGGAGAGGGCAGGGATTTAGACACCATCTTCCAGTCACTGTGCCTGACACTTCCAAAGGCATCTGGTGACAGCTCCTCAGGATGGAGAGCCATGCAGCAGAGGAAAGAGGCAGGAGGAAGTCCACAGACAGAGTAACCACCCACAATGGGCAGCACAGTTCCCTGTCCTATGGGGAGTCTGTTCCCTGGACTGAAGTCTGGCTTCATATCAAAATATCCCCACCCCAAAGGAGTCTGCAGACACCACAGCAAGGCAGTGCTAGCCAAGGAGGCTGTGGCTAGAGGAAGACCCTGATAAAGGGCTAACACAGAGAAAATGCTAATAGAAACCTGCAAAAAGCAAACATTCAAACTACAGTGACCACACCCACAGCAGGGTAAAACAGCAAATGGGGGTAGGCGGCATGCAGCCCACGAGGAACTGAGCAGAACAAAAAAGATGCCAACGTATCACACTCTTTCCTCTTTAAACCCAAGACTGTTACCTTTTGTTAGAGCAATAGGGCCAAAGTAGTTTGTCTCCATGACCCTCTTGTCAACATCCACTGTGGTGTCTGTGATGGTCCCTCGGTAGCTGATCCCAGCATTGTTGATGAGTACATCCACATAGCCAAAGCACTGCAGGATCTCAGCTGCTGCAGCAACAGTAGCCCCTGTGTCTGCGAGGTCGAAGGTCACTGTGTAAGGCTTGTGCGTCTGCTTCTGGCCAAATACAAGACACCAAATACACCTGATAAGTGACAGGCCCCATAGCTATGTGTCCCTGCTTTTCAGAGTCCAGGGAGTGACATAATGGACACGAAACAACATGGGCTACAGCAGCAGTCCTTTTCCGAAGAGTTGAGGCCTACAGGTAACCCTGCCTACAGTGGTCACCCCTGACCTAGACAACTCTAATCTTGAACTAAAGTTGCCTGCACCTCAAGAGATATGACCTGGGCTTCTCCTACTTTCAGAAGCCCAGTTGTAAGCTCCCCAGGACAGGTCACATATGTGTGGACTGCTGTAGCAGGTAACCACAGAAGCTATTAACCATAGCTATCCTTGCTGCTTTGTGCTATCCAACTTTAATACGTTCAGTGGCTCACGAGGGGTCCTGTTCTTCTCAGGTTAAGTCACTTTTACTCATTTCTTCATGAAATAATTTTTACATGTACCATGTAATGAGGACATAGCAGAAGCCAACAACCTGTCCCTCTGAGGCACAGATTAATTATGTAACTGTGAAGAATGCTATAAAGTCCTGTGCTAAAGAAATGAGTAGCTAAGCAACACAATGTGAAGGGCATCCCAACAGATGTAAAGTGCAACACTGCACTGGGAAGTCCTCACCAGAGCAACAAGACAAGAAAACGTCCCCCATATTGGAAAGGAAGAGATAAAACTACCTCTGTTTGCAGATGACATGATTCTATATATAGAAAATGGCAGCAAATCCCATGAAAGCTATTAAGAGCTAACTAAAAAATTCAGCAAAGCTGCAGGGTACAAGATCAAAACAAAAACAACAACAACAAAATCAGCTGTTTCCATACAGGAACAATAAATTGTGAAAAGGATGTTAGGAAAGCAAAATATGTTAGGAAATACTGAGGAATGAATCTAACCGAGGAAATGTAAGATTTTCACACTGAAGACATTTGCTGACTAAAATTAAAAATGACACAAATACAAGGAAAGACATCCTATGTTCATAGATTGGAAGTCAATATTGTTAATTTCACAATACTACCAAAGTGATCTATAAGTTCAATGCAATTCTTATCAAAATCCCAATGGCTTTTTTTTTTAATATTTATTTTTTAGTTGTAGTTGGACACAATACCTTTATTTTATTTATTTATTTTCTTGTAGTGCTGAGGATTGAACCCAGGGCCTTGCACATGCTAGGCAAGTGCCCTACTCCTGGGTCACAACCGGAGCCCCCAATGGCATCTTTTTCAGAAAAAAAAAAAAAATCCTAGAATTCACATTGGGTTGCAATGGTCCCTCAATAGCAAATGAATCCCAAAAAAGAACATAGTTAAAGCACTCACACTTCCTGATTTTGAAACAAAGCTACAGTAATTAAGACAGCATATTATTGACAAGGGACAAGCATATCAGCCAATGGAATGGAATAAAGAACTCAGAAATACACTTTTAAATATATGATCAATTTTTTTTTTTCCAGTACTGGAGATTGAATCCAGGAGCATTTTCGACTGAGCTACATCCTCAACTCTTTTTATTTTTTATTTTGAAATAGGGTCTTGCTAAAAAGTTGCTGAGGCTGGCCTTGAACTTACAATCCATTTGCCTCAGCCTTCCAAGTTGCTGGGATTGCAGGTGTGTACCACCATGCCCAACCATGACCAAATGATTTTTGACAACAGTGCTAGACCATTCAATGAAGAATAGACTTCAAAAAATGGGTTTTAGGAGAATTTGATATGCACATGAAAGGATGAAATTAGACCCTTACCTAATATCACATATAAAAATAACTCAAATAGAGTAAAGACCTAAATGTAAGAGTTTAAACTATAAAACCCACCCTTCCTAGGATGGGTATAGTTAAAAACCACCATCACCAACAATATCACCAAAAATGTCAAGTGTGGAAAACCAGACCCTGTGCATTACTGGCAGGAATGTAAAATGGTGCAGCTATTCTGGAGACCAGTTTGGCAGCCCTTCAAAAGTAAACAAAACTACCCATATCATTTGATGTCACTCTTACGTAGACATCAAAAAAAAAAAAAATGGAAAGCAGGGACTCTAACACCAACATCCATAGCAGCACTGTTCACAATAGTAAAAAAGCACAAACAACAAACAACCCAAGTTCACCAACAAGCTATTCATTGACAGACGGATGGATAAACAAAATGTAGGCTGTATGTGTGTGTGTGTTATTTTAAAACAATTTAGAAAATCTTAAATCATCATCAATCCCCACCAGGTGAGTGAGACAAGCCAGGTAAAAGGCTGGGAAAGCACTCCCACAGAAGGAAGTTCCTCAATCCACAAGCCTAGTCAGTGGTGGCAATGTGGGATGTGAAGGCTGTGGCCCCCTTTGCCTGGAGTCCTACTGCTTCCCCTGTACAGCTTGACCACACAAATGTTCTTCAGTCCAGCAGCCCAAGAGTGGCCTGCTGTCCCCTAAGGGGGCTACCAGAGCCCTTCCCCTTGGAAAACATGCCCTGGGCTCACCTGGGAGGTATGAGAAGCAGTGAGCTCTCTGGTGAGTTCTTCGAGGGCCTCTATATTCCGGCCACAGAGCACCAGCTTAGCACCTGCAGCATGGAAGACTCTGGCACATTCTAAGGGAAGAGAAAAGAATCTTGACAGCTGAGGATATCCAAAGCCATTCCTCCCCCATGCAATTCAATTCAAATTCATCCAGTGCGGAGGGTATGTTTGTTTCCTCACGTGTACGTATTGGCAGGTGCTATGGACCAGCATGAGGCTAGCTGTTAGGGTCCAATGTAGGGCTCCCATCTAGAGATGCAGCAGACATCCACAAAGCAATGAGGAAGGCAAAGGGTGGACAGATTTATGATCAGTACTATGCTCAGAACTTTCCACGAATAACCCTGGGATTGCCATCTCCATTTCCATGGCTGAGGAAGCTCAGCCAGGCTGAGTGATGTTCCTCATGATCATGCAGAGAACCTGTACCAATGGGATAGGATAGGCAAGACCAGCTGCTACAACACTGCAACAGGCTGTGTTCCAGCACCACCTGACCTGTTTCTGGAACTGCTCATCTGCAGTCACACAGTTGTACAGGAGACCTGCACAGTTCTGTAAAAAATGAGGGCAAAGGACTCTGTAAGGAATGAGGAGGCCCACCCAGGAACCCTGGAGCCTGAGGGGCTGCTTGCATCTGCTCAAGGCAGAGGGAGCAAGATGCGCAAAGCACAGGAGGAGCCATGAATAGATGATGCTAGTGCAGAAAGAGGAAGGTTAGGCTGGGGATATAGCTCAGTGGGTAGAGTGTGCCTGCCTCGCGTGCATAGGCCCTGGGTTCAATTCCCAGCATCACCAAAAAAAAAAAGAAAAAAAAAGATGCAAGAAAAAAGAAGGTTCAAAGGTCTTGTTAGGCTAGGGGAGGGATTCAGGCAGCAAAATGGTGGTAGGGGGAACGGAAGCAAAGGGTGATATGAGGGAGGAGAGGAAGGTATGTTTATTGCTTCCCCCCCACCAAACATGTTCTCGTTAATTGTTCAGTACCCTGAAAACTCATGGCTTTGTAAAAGCAGGCAGCCCAGCGGTCGAGGGAACAGATTTGAGCCAGACTTCCTGTGTTCAACTCTCACTTCCCACATTTACTGGTTCCATGATGTCAGGTAAGTTATAACCTCTTTGCTTCTTGCTTTCCTCTCTTTAAGATGCAGATAAAAATAGTGCCTACTTCAGGGAGAACTGTGAGATTGAATGAGTTTAAGTAGGCAATCACTTCCTACAGTGCTGGGTAAACAAAAAGCACTAGGAAGTACTGTTCTAATACTTCTTGTTTTTAATACTTTAATATTTCTAAGCTGCCATTTTAAAATGTTCTGAAAACTGAAGTGAGTAGGTGTAAGGCAGGGCATTGCCTGTCCTCACCTGAGGTCTAGTTCCCCAAAAATGCTCAGGAGCAGATCTCCACAAGACACCTTGTTTCTCGCTGATCATACCGAGGCCAGTGTGTCACCCACGTGGCTCCCAACCAAATCTTAAGAGGCCCAAGAGCCTCCCTGTGATTCATGAAAGGGACAGGCCTGCCCTACAGGGCAATTCCATCTCTGGAAGCCATGCAGCAAGGAGCGGAGGAGGAATGAGGGCTGCAACTTTCTAGGCTGAGAAGGGACAAGGTCAGAAAATTCAGGCAGTGTATGTCAAGCTTCCTTAAAGCTAGAAGGTTCAAAACAGGAAGGGAGAAAAAAATCCCAGTGTCCTGAGATGTCAAGGAGAAGGTGCTCTGCCCCCTGTCTCCCGGTGCCAGCCCTTTCTGCACCCCACAGGTCCCCTTTGGCCCTGTTCACTCGCCATGCCCGGGCTGCCTGTCTCTTGCACCTCACTTCTCTGAGAGTTGCCAGGCAGACTATAGAGTGCACTTCCAGGTCAGGGATGCTGCACAGCTTTTGGAGACTTGCTTGGTTTGTTCACTGGCTTGAAGAAATGCAGAGGGCCCATAAGAGCCACAGCCATTGCTTCTGCCTGTCCCTGGTAGTCTGGTCAGGTCACAGCAGCAGCCCCACCTGCCTTTGTGCTCCTTCCCAGCAGAACAGCAAAGTCCTCACAGGACTGAAGGTGGGGACCGGGATATCCCAAAACCAGACGCCAGCATTCCTGAGGCTAGAACTGCTCAGCCAGCTTACTGAGTCCTTCCCAAATATCAGGATCCTTGGTCCCATTAGCTTCCTCACCCCATTCTGTCGTGTCCTGATCAACACACTGAGGTACCACCAAAGGATGTAGACTTAACCAAAGGTACGGAGGTACCCTTCTGAAAAAGGATCATTTAAATTCTACTTTGCTTCCTAGAAAAGTCAAAAAGAGGAAATTATAGTTTGTGTAGAGAGTGATGGAAATGAAAATGACACATTGGAAGGATTTCATTTTCCTTCCTTGAAAAACCTGATGCAGGGAGACAGGAAAGTCAAGGAACAAGGCTAACAGTTCCAAGGTGCCAGTTATCTAGGGCAGCAGATGAGTCCCCAGAGTTGCCTTGAACAAATCAAGATAGCTGTGCAGAGCCATGTGCTTTAGGCTAGCTGAAGCAGGCATCCAGAACATTCTGTTCCTTTAGTCACTGGTGCTACTGTTCTCTAAGGATAAGATCATGTAGCTTAAGTGCACAAGACAGGAAATTAGAAAAATACATAAAGCTATCTGAAGATTCATCATATAACCCCCAACCTTCAAGGTCAGGACAGGCAGAGCTACTGAGGGCAGTACAGATCTCCCTCCTCACAGAAGCTAGGCCACAAGAGCTGGTTGTTGGTATAATCAACTGTGAGTGTTTGTACTGAGACAGCCCATTAAAAATCTGCTCCCACTTTATCTGGATGCAGGGACTCCTGTCCCCAAGATGTTAAATAGGGTAGAATATAAACTAGTGACTAGAACTCAGAAAAGACCTGACATCATATACTATATCTGCAGGTTATTTTTCTCAATTACATTTTCTATTCCCTTCACAGTCTTGGTGTCATGTGAGGAGATGCAGAATAAAGAGGACAGTGTCCTTCTGAACCTCCATCTATGGGGGCACCTGCAACTCACCATTCCACCCCAGCCAGCTCGCAAATCCTCTTCAAAGACTTTTAAAACTTGCTTCTCTCTGAGATCAAGAGAAGAGGCTGCTGACTCCTATTTATAGTGACTGAGTAAGGTCAGAGGACTGACCATGGCAAAGGGCTTGGAGGCAGCTGTCCTTTCGAAGGTCTGGCAATTCAATGACAGATGCGGTTTCACCCCCAGAGACCTCACCTACCACCCCTGGCAGGTGGTGCACAAAGAAACTCACATTCCCTAAAGCCTTCCTGTACTTCCTGTACTTCCCCGCAAGCCTCCTGCCCTACGGACAAGGCCTGTCTCTTCTTTTGTGTTCTGCAGCCTCTAGTTGTGCACAACTCCCCGATGACCATGTCACTCCCACCCCTGGACCAGTCAAGAACGCCCACCCTACTGGCCCACATCTTCCTATTATAGTCAATTAAGGATTTAGGACAGAGTTCTAGAGTCAGAGATGTGGGTCTGACTTTTGGCTTTGTGCTTTTTGGCAGGAAGTCTTAAGGCAAGTCGTACTGTGATTTGCATCTCAGCTGTGATAACTTAGTGACACCCCACACCTGAAAATGTGTGGCACAAGCTGGCATGTACAGATAGATGTGCCTCCTGGCAGCAGGCCTGACGGGGAACGCCCACTACTGAAGTGGCAGTATGCCAAGATAAACCCTGGCCTTTCTCCAGCACACTGTGACCTCCTCAAGAAGGAGGAACCTCCCTGTCTTTAATTTTTTTTTTTCCCAGTGCTGGGGATGAAGGCCTGGATTTTGTGCAGGCTAGGCAAGCCTTCTACCCCTGAGCTATCCCCAGAACCAAAGACTCTGTCTTTCATCTATTTGTCCAGCACTTGGCCCAAAGTCTCAGGATTAGAAGATACTCGGTGGGCACTGGCTTTGCCATCACAGTGGCAGGAAAGCTTACTACAGTTCTGGGAACATCTCAGCTTTCCTCCCTGGACATGTGCTTAAATATGCATGGCACATAAAAAAGGCTAAGGAAGACGGAGGGAGCTTCATGAAGCATACTCTTTGTCTAAGTTGCCAGAATCAACGACTGAGCTCTGCAACACATCTGTGTGGGATTCCAGGAAAGGAACCAGGCCAAGGATTTAACTGACACGAGGCCTATGTCCCAGACTCCAGGCCTCAGAAGCTCAGAATACTCATTGAAGGGGAATGGCAGTGAACAGTAGTCCTCATTGAGGAAAAGTTAAAGTCTCACTGATCCTGTCTCCAACTCTGCCACACTTGGGAAGGGAGAGGGGGAATATGCACCAAGGCCATGTACCAAGGTCCATGGTTTTGGCTGAATCTAGGAAAATGCATATTTTACTTGTCCCTCGCAGAGACAAAAATACTTGTTAAATGAGTTCTTCATATCTGAAAATTGGGCAATTTCACATCAAAATCCTTCTTTCATCCAGGCGCAGTGGCACACATCTATAATCCCAGCAGCTTGGGAAGCTGAGGCAGGAGGATTCTGAGTTCAAAGTCAGCCTTAGCAAAACTGAGGTGCCAAGCAACTCAGTGAGACCCCGTCTCCAAATAAAATACAAAACAGGGCTGGGCATGTGACTCAGTGGCCAAGTGCCCCTGAGATCAATCCTCAATACTTAAAAAAAAAAAATCTTCTTTTAATAAGCAGCTGGAGCTTAGGAAGGTTGCCCCTTCAATAGGTCCTGCAGTCATTTGCTTTTGCTTCCCCACTGAGGCAGGGGCTGTTTCTCACTGTATATAAGGCCCCACTTTTTCCAACTGGACCAAAGACAGTAACATCGCACTTGCATTCCCGTGGCCCCTGTGTAAACAGCCCTCTCTCAACTGGCTGATTCCCCACCCCAACCATCCCCACGACCCACCTCTGCCCAGCCCCGAGGTGGCGCCTGTTATCACCACCACAGTATTCTGAACGTAGGCCTTCATGCGCATCCACTGCAGCAGCTGATAGATGCCAAAGATGCCCAGGCAGCCTAACAGCAGGGGCAGGATGGAAGTAGAGGACATCAAGTCCATGACCTTCTCCTTCGGCGGACTCTTCCTGGAAGAACCAAAACCAAATCAACTAGTGAGAAGAGAAGAGAACTCAGAGGATTTACTGAGGCTTCTCCTATAACATACAAATCCCAGATCTCCCTTCTGCAGACCTCAGCTCTGAGCCCAAGCGAGTCTCTCTCTAGATCCTGCAGGGCACAACAACTGTTCAGCATGGTGGCACTTGTTTTCTATCACTCTGCATTGACATGAACAGACAGCAATACCATAGGCCTCAAGATGCCCCCAAGAACAAGCTGAGAGTGTCATTCAGCTTAGGATTCAGTGACCTGGTGAGTGCTATAGGACAGGGTGGCATACCAGTACTCACCTGATTCTCCTTTGAAAACCTGTTTTGGGGAACTTAAACCATTTCCTTTATCATATTTTCACATTACATTACAAGACCATTACAAAAGGAAAGAAAAAGAAATTGTAACAATTCTTACAATAGCCAATAGGAATACAGTACAGGACAGAGCTTCCCCATGCCAAATATCAGCATCGACTCAGGCTGGTAAGCATGCTCTCTGCCATGTACAGGAACACATTCTTAGTTAGCATGACTGCCACATGAGTGTTTGTGCAACAGTGTGCTATCAGTTCTTAGGAAACGTATCCATTTTTGTCTACAATTGCCTTTAATTTCCTTATTTCTCCAGAGCCTCCCCAGCTCCTCATTCTACCAGGCACCTACAACAGATAAGTGGGGAGACACAGTTTAAGAAAGGTCAGGTATGAGCTAGTGAAGATATCAACATGTTCTGTCACTTTGATAGAATTGCCCTACAAGGCCACTTGACAAGTGGATCAAAGACTACGAGACAAAGGTTCACCACAGACAACCTCCAAGATAATGGTGCTATGGACACAGTAACCCACAGGAAGAACAATGCTAGAAACCAAGAAGAGAATTCTGGTGAAATCAGAAGCTTTAAATTATTCATTAGCTTAGGAAGAACTATGTAAAACCCACATCTACCTCCTAAATGTCCCATCTCTTAAACCCACATATTTTTTTTCAGTTTAAATACTGCATTTGATTACTTGTAACTTTTCCATTTTGATTTGTAAATTTTCCATGTTCTTTTTAAAAATTTTATTTATTTATTTTAATTAGGTATATATGACTGCAGAATGCATTTTGATTCAACTGTACAAAACTGCAGCACAACTTTATATTCCTATGGTTGTATATGATGTAGTGTCACACCATACGTGTATCTAGGGTCATGATGTCCATCTCCTTCCACCATCTTTCCTGCCCCCATGTGCCTCCCTCTTCTCCCTCCCCTTTGCCCAAAGTTCCTCCATTTTTCCCATGCCTCCCCCCTTTCCGTTATGGATTGGCATCCACTTATCAGAGAGAATATTTGGCCTTTGGTTTTTTGGGTTTGGCTTATTTTGCTTAGCATGATATTCTCTAACTCTATCCATTTACCTGCAAATGCCATGATTTCATTCTCTTTTAATGCTGAGTAATGGTCCATTATGTATATATAGCACAGTTTCTTTATCCATTCATCTACTGAAGGGCATCTAGGTTGGTTCCATAGTTTAGCTATTGTGAATTGAGCTGCTATGAAAATTAACATGGCTGCGTTACTACAGTATGCTGATTTTAAGGCCTTTGGGTATAGTCTGAGGAGTGGGATAGCTGGGTCAAATGGTGGTTCCATTCCAAGTTTTCTAAGGAATCTCCATACTGCTTTCCAGATTGGTTGCACAAATTTGCAGTCCCCCCAGTCCCACCAGTATAAGTGTGCCTTTTCCCCAACATCTTTGCCAACATTTATTGTTCTTTGTATTCTTTATAGCTGCCATTCTGACTGGAGATGAAATCTCAAGAGTAGTTTTGATTTGCATTTCTCTAATTACAAGAGATATTGAACAATTTTTCATATATTCATTGATCAAGTATATACCTTCTTCTGATGCTCATGGGCACCTGAAGAACAGAGCTGGCAACCTGAGGCTAAGGTACAACTCCACCAGAGGCCATGAGCATCAAGTACCAAGTACACAGCCTGTCATCTCCCAAAATTCAAAGGTCCCTGAGCCCACCCAAAAAGCACTAACTGCGGGGGTGGGGGGATAAGGAAAACACTGACTGTGGCATACTGACAGCAGAGCAGGAGTCCTGAAAATGAACGCTGAAGTCCAGCCTAGCTGGTATCACATCCTGCCCCAGCCATTTACCACCCTAGAGATGGGACCTAACTGCTTTGGGCCTCAAAGTCCTCATCTCTGAGATAAGGGTATGCAAGAACCCACCTCCCAGGTCTGTTAAGAGATGTAATAAACCAATCCTTGTGCAGGGACCCTGGCTCAGGCAAGCACCCAGGGAACATAGCTGCAGCAGCAGCATCCCAAACTCCCGGCCCAGGAAGTTGCTTCTCAGCAGCCAGATCTCCAAGGTTTCTCAAAGAGTCCCAGGTTTACAAATGTTGGTTCTTCCCAAATGAAATAAACTCATTAAACTACATAGGGTTCAATGTAGTTTAATTTTTATAGCTTCAGAGACCCTTTGATTTAACTAATAAATAGGAGAAAACAGAAGTCAGTATCCCATATCCCAACTTTTATGTCAGAAAATGTTACCAAGGCCAGCACAACACAAAATTTGGCAGCGTGGGGTGGTGGGGTGTTGAACTGTCCCTCAGTCCTTTCAGGGAGAAGCACAATGAAAACAAACCAGGCTTCAAGGTTCCCAAGTGGAAGATAATTAAAACTCCCAACAAGTTGCATTTTCATGCAACCTAATTAAAACTCAAGCCAGCATTAGAGCAGATTATGCTAAGTTAAGTTAGCCAATCCCAAAAATACAAATGCCAAATGTCTTCTCTGATATAAGGGGGGGGTGACTCAAAATGGGGTAGGGAGGGAGAGCATGAGAAGAAGATTACCTCTAGAAAGGGAAGAGAGGTGGGAGGGAAAAAGAGGGAGAAGGGGAATTGCATGGAAGAGGGAAGGAGACCCCCTTTGTTATACAGAATACAAGTATGAAGATGTGAGGGGAAAAAAAAAGAAGTGAGTCACATTAGATTGGGTAGAAAGAAGAGATGGGAGGGGAGGGGAGGGGAAGGGGGGATAGGAAGGACAACAGAATAAAATAGACACTACTATTGCTGTATGATATAGGTGACTGTATGACCAATGTGATTCTGCAACCTGTACAATCAGAAAAATGAGAAATTATACCCATCTGATTCAAATGTATGATATGGCAAGATCATTGTTCTGTCATGTATAACTAATTAAAACAAAACAAAACAAAACTCAAGCCAGCAACCTACAACATGAACAAGAGAGAGAAAGCTACACACTGTCCTAGATGTTTCTAGGGTTCTCTGAACACCTGACACAACATCACATGCCAAGTCTTGGTCCCCTGGCCTTGGGGATCAATTTGCCTTAGGCAAACATGGCACAGGGTTAACAGGATCCATCCTCAGTCCACGGCCACCGTCTGTGGGGAGAGTGCCTTGTCTGTAGTGACAGAATGCACAGTAAATTAAAAATCAGTGCCAACCTTCCCCAGGAAAAGAAGAATGATGATGGTGGGAAAAAATATATCGAAGCAAGCCATTTATTTGAGAATCAGGTTCAGTCTTGCATAATTTCCCTGACCAGACAAAACTGTTCAAATGAGCACTCCCAACACTTTCCAGAAGATCAAATTCTTAAAGACCTCCCAAGTTTTATTCTGCTCTGCAGTGATGGGCGCCCAGGCTGCTAGGGCTTCCCAACCTCTCAGAAACAGCTTTACCATGATGGCCAAGAATTAGACAAGGATCACCCACACTGCCTTGCTGAGAAGTTCCAGGAGCCTTCTCCCATCAAAGGGGACTACTATAAAGTAGGAGACAGGAACTGTGTCCTAACTGGCCACATTTCAGATTAAAACTAAATTTTATCTATAATTTATAGCAAAAATTAAAGGAAAACAGCCTGTTTTCTTTGAAAATTGCATAAGAGGAACTTTAATGTGCTTATAAATTATGTATTTCATATCAGAATGCTTATTAACTGCTAGTTTCAAATATATAGCCAGAGCATAGACTAGGAGGGCAAGACTCTAGCGTTACCTTAGATTAGATAGAGGGAAGTGATGGGAGAGGAGGAGAAGAGAGGGAGTGTGGGGATAAGAAACATAGTAGAATGAAACAGACATTATTACTTTATGTATAATGTGATTCTGCAACATGTGCACTCTGAAAAATGAGAAATTATATCCCATCTACATATGATATATCAGAGTGCATAAGTGCATTCTACTGTCATGTATAACTAATTAAGATAAATTTAAAAATTAATAAAAAAGAAAAAAAATACATCTTATGTTCCAAAGAAGACTAAATCATACATTGAAAACTCTGAGCATTTTAGTGTCAAGTTAGAATGTCCAGTTCCTTAATGTCAACTTAGTTTGTTATATAAATAGATATTAGACATTTAGAACATGTTTTCTGTAACAAAATAGAATGGTTCTAGACAATATAAAAAGGATCATATGCATACCTTAAGAATTGGTAGTAAACCACGGCTGGGGATATAGCTCAGTTGTGTATAAACATAATTTTGCTGGTATGTAACCATACCCACTTATAAATGTACTTAATGCCATTGAACTATACAAATTAAAGATATGTTAAAATAGTAGACTTTATATTTTGTATATTATCACAATAATAAAGTACAAGACACGTGTGGTGGCAGAAAAGAAAAAAAGGGAGTGGCAAAAATTATCTTGCTCATCACTTCCAGCATTGGAGATGGAAAGAAGAGACAGTCTTTCCAGCACCATCGTGAGCCATAGCAGGAAGCAGGGCAAGGACATGTACAGAGAAAGGTCAGAAAAGGAAGGGATACCTCCATAGAAAACAAAGAGCACGCATCATCTAAAAGACAAACTGTCTACGCATGCAGTGTGTACACCACAGTCACATCCACACTCTTCACTGCCAGAGAAAGGACTCGAGGCATGAATTTGCAATAATGAGCCAC